TTAGGTTTAAGTTCAAGTGTTCTGTGTTGGACTTTTGTCTTCCTTCCTGGAGAAGCTGGATTGTTTTGCAGTGAGATAATTACCTTTTTGCATGTCTCTGCTTGAGGCTGGGCACTGCAGTCTGTTCCACGAAATATGTAGGTGAAGCTGACATTGTGCCCCTGTCTGTGATTGTTCTTTCTTTCATACCTCCTTGTAAAATCTATGGTTTGCTTTTATTCCATTAGGGTCTTACAGTGACATTGGTAATATGCATTACTGTTCAGTAATAAAGCAGTGTTTTGTTTGTTTGTTTTTCTTTTTTACACTTTTCAGAAAGAATCATAGTCTTGGAGAACTGGTTGAGCTGATAGCAATTCATCCATCATTTGGGCCTGTTTTGGCTCATTTATGTGTTTATATATGAAGGTCCCAAGAAGAAAAATAAGCAGAGATTCTGTGCATCCTTGTTCTCTTCTTGAACTGAAAAACCCATCTATGCTTCTGGGTACATCTCAACACTGTATAGCCTCTCTTCCACAAGCTTTAGGAGCTTACTGTAATTTTTGTTTCCTTTAAAGCGTAGAAGTTTTTTAGTTATGCAGTGGCTTTACAGTGAACTATAGTGCTTTTTAAATGGTATCAGATACCTCAAATGAATGACTGTATTCAGATACTGAAAAGCAATATAAGTAAATGGCAATCGTACCGATGTTAACAAATTTGGTTGTGCTGCTTTTTGTGAGAGGAAGATTTCTGAAAAGTTTGCCATAGGAAGTACTAAGAACATGTAGTAGGAAGATTTTCTCCTGTGGAATTTGACCTGGAGCTTGCTTCAGATTCAGTCTTCCGGGTGGCTGGATAAAAACATTTTAAGAAAAGTTTGGGGGTCTGTCCCTCCTCTACTTAGACTTTTGGGGTTTTTTGTTGAGTTGTAATGGATCTCTAATTGAAGTTTCTTTCCTGAAAACTTTGACAACGTTTTACATTGTCATATGCTATGCATTTCCATGTAGATCAACAGAAATGAGAACAAATTGGATGAAGTATTTACTGGAAGAAATGGCCGACGGGAGTAAGAATCATACCTATACCAGCTACTGTATTTGTCTTATTGCTATAACTGTTGAGTTTCAAAAAGTAATACAGAAAACCCCAAACTGGACTTCAATATGGAGATTTTTATAGTAAAGCCTGTAACAGGTGATAAAGTTTTTCTTCAGGCGCTTTGTATGCAAACAGGAACCACCAAATAACCGTATGGGAGTGAATAGTTGCAAACCAACCCATGGAGTTCTATCAAAACCCAGCTTAAAAAAAAGAGGAGGAAAATGGTATTTCACTGCAGTTTATTTTTGTTATCAGCTTGGAGGAATAATTCCAAAATTAACCCTCAGAGGACCGAAAATCCTAGTAGTTTGACTGGAAACTGATCATTTAAAAAGACCCTCAAGTTGAGTAAGCCTGTCAGACTTTAACCGAGGGTTGAATTTGTTCTTGGGATTCCTCATTAATTATGTTCACTCATAAATGAAAGACCGCCTTTTTCCAACGAGAATAGCCTTCAGGTTTCCAGTTTCTCAAATGTAAAAAAGAATCCATGATTTTGTTTATAGTCTGTGTTTTCCCCGTTGCTTTCTTGTGTGACAAAAAGAATTAAAAACAACAACAACAACAACAAAAAGTGGCCCCAGACCTAAGCAAAGATCGGATCAGAAGCCACAGCGTGCGTTAGCTAAACAAAGCATGTGACCAGCACTCCAGCCCTGGGTGCTGGAAGGTTCCCAGCTGCACCTGCTTGCTGCTTCCTAAAATCGAGATTTCTGTGGCGGGGAAAAACACCTGCCCTACAGCGTTACCTGTGGGATTTCAAGTTCTATTTTCTTGGGGGAGAAAAAAAAAATTATAATAGCTATAATTAGTGGCTTGTGAATCACGTTGTCTGGGGTGCGTTGCAGTTTATTTCTGCTAGGTTCATCTCCGGCAGCCAG